CCTTGCTAGGACCATTGCTTGGATCCCCAATTCAAGATGTGGCAATTACTTTACATTCACTGATAATTCATCCTGGTACCTCCTCAACTATGATTTCTGCCTGTGTCTCAAGATGCGTACAAAAGGTATAGAAGTATCCTAATCCTTTTTGCTTTAAGGTGACTCTCCTGAGAGTAGTGATCACTGATCTGCAGACAGCTGTGCTTGTAGTGCCTGACCTTGTATCTTTGCTTCCTGAGTCTTACGGTCAAAAAGAACTTTTACCATGGAAAATCTTTGATTCCTTTATCACCAGGGTTTTATCTGAAAGAAGATCTAAGAAATTACTGTTTAACATAGATAGCTATGAAAATCCTCTGATTTTGGCAAATAAGCAAGGTTTCTTATGTGGCAACTACTTTCCCCATCCCAGACATGCCATTAGAAACCAGCTTGGTAGGTTTGAATGGAGGACATTTCTAGAGTCAGCTTGGCCCAAGATATACTATAATCTAAAGGACCCCGAGGATCTACTATTGGTTCTAATTTTGGCATTCATGTTTATTCAACTAATATTACTTTAGTCAAGAATTGCTGAATAACAGATTCAAGATAAGCATCTAACTTCACAGAGAATCAAGCAATCTGGTCTTCTTGGCATGGTTTCCTGGGGTATGTCCTTGAGTGTCTTGTCCCAGTACCTACCAGAGCTGGTTTAACCCCCAGGGCCTTAGTGTTCTGACTGATGATTCTGTGCATTTCTCTCAGTGTGAGAATGCTCTAGTTTTGTAGGTGACTGATTTTGCATTAAAACACTTGCTTTTATAACCATCTTCTAATATTTTGCACTGTGAGACCTGATTTTCTATAGTCCTATTTGAATCCATAATTATAAAATTATCTTAAATACCCTAAGCCCCTGACTTAAGAAGGCTGATCTATCTCTTACTTATGAGTTCAGATTCATACTTCTTAAAGTTTTTTGATTTAAAAAAACTATACTTTCAAAAAATAAAATTTAGTTTGCCTAAACATGTAGCTAAAAATATCGTTTGTTGTCATGATTAAATTGTTGAAAACGTTTATCTTCCAGTAATTTAAAAAATTTCCCCTGAAGTTGGTCTTAATTTGAAATAACAGTAAATCTGTAACTATTCTTGGGTTGGTTAGCCTTTTTATTAAGATCATACTAGAGAATAAGAATTAACATTATGGGGGGCTTACATTTAATCTTTAGTTTTAATTCATTACTTTAAGTGAAATACTCCTAATGGAAGTACTCCAGCCTTTGTTAAGCTTCATCTAGTAGGAAAGCGCCTTCTTTTTTGCTCATGAGAAGTTAATGATGCTTCATATATTTGAGCCTTCCATGTTGTGCTTAACAGTGACTAGGCACTGAGATGGATATACAGGATGGATACATTTTTCTTAACCTTAAGGACCTTATGATTTTGAAGGGAATTAAATATTCCCAAATAGCCAAAATATTAGGTAGAATAAACTGAGTAGCATAAAAACTGAGAAGCAAGGAATTGGGCAGGATTCTTGAGAAGAAGTTAATATTTGAGCTTTGATGATTTGAAGAATTGGGGCATGGTGGGGAGCATTCTAGACAGGAAGAATTAAAGAGTTCTTTTAACTATAGGTATCAGATGAAGGCAGAGGCGTAGTGAAAAATAATGTGGGAAAAATTAAATAAAGGCAGACTGTAGAGAAACCTTAGAAAGTACATTCAGGAGTTAGATTTGTTTTGAGAACAGTGTTTTCAAAGAGGGCAGTGTAATCATTAGAGTAGGGAAGAGCTAGTCTAGGATAGGGGATGGACTGGGTCTGAACTGGGACGATAGGCATGGGAGTGGAATAGAAATGGAAATCTTATAACTTACGTGGGGAAAATGAAGTCAAAGATGCATCTAGGTGAACTGAACACTAGTGATACCATCAACAGAAATAGGAAAGCAGATAAGAGTGTTTGGGAAAGGAAATGATGAACTCAGTTTGGGGCATTGGGTTGCTGTAAGATCTTCAGACACTATCCCAAAGCAGGCCAATGGAGTACAAGGCTGGAGCACTCAGAGACTGTGGGCTGGGTGGAGTTTAAAGGTTTTGAAGAACCTACGTAGAAGATGTCTTTGAGGCTCTGCAATTAGGCAGTATTGCCAAGATAAAGACTGAAGAGAAAACAGGACTAAAGAGAGATCCATGAGCATAGTATATCCTATTTAAGATACACAGAATTCAGTCCTTTCCTTGGTTGTAGCATTTTTCCTCTTAATTTTTACCTTTTCTGTCATTTTGTTCTAAAAGATATGAAATGGCACAAAGCTTTTGGTAAGAACTGCAAAAATGCAGAGAATATAGTTGTTTGCTGTCGGCTGTCATTTTTAGTAACATTTTCATTCTAGGACTGTTAGACACATTTTTTACAGTTGTCATTTCAGTCGATAGATTTTAAAGGTTTATTAGCTATGAAGAACTGAGAGATTGTGTTTTACTATGTATGTGTGCTGTATATTTTGGAATTTCTGTGATAGGGGTCCCCGACCCTTGGGCCACATAGCAGGAGGTGAGCAGTGGGCGAGTGAACAAAGCTTCATCTGTATTTGCAGCCGCTCCCCAGTGCTAGCATCACTGCCTCAGCTCCACTTCAGATCATGCGGCATTATAGATTCTCATAGGAGTACCAGTCCCTGGTGCCAAAAAGATTGGTGACTGCTGTTCTATGATTAAATGAATATACTATTGGTTTTACTAATTTGGCCATGACTGAGGGTAAGGGGACTGGAGAGAAAGGAGGAGGTGATATATTGGGGACAGAAAGGTTAGAGACTGAGAACCATTATTTGACAGTGTAGGTGATGATAACGCCCCCTCTAAGGCCTTAGTGATAATGAAGAGTAGAAGGGTCGGAGCAGAAAGAAAGACGATCAGTCAAATCCAAGTAAAACTGAGGGTACATTCATGAGCCAAACTCATGAATTTATAGGAAGTAGGCTTAGAATTTATAGGAAGTTGTTTTGTTACTTTTGAACTCTGGCAGGCTAGAGACATAAATCAGACTCACCTTGTGGTGTCTGCACATTCCATGCAAAACCCACTTACCAATTTGTCTGATGTAATGATACTATTAAAGATGGTGTCTGACTGGTGGCCCCAGTGTTTTCTTTATATTATTGCTACTTCCAGTTTTCTTACACTTCCTACTTGCTCTATGCTATTTTAGCTTTTTTCATTTTCCATGTTCTTTATGTGCTTGATCTTGGCCTTTGAAATCTAAAATTCTGAACAGATAATCTATTTTAAATAGAGAATGCGTTTCTATTACCTACCCGTTAAATTTCTTTTTTTTTTTTAAGCTCTCCCCTTCATTTTCCTCCTTGATTGCCTTGACATGTTCCATGGACTGTAACTATAGGCATCAGGAAGAAAACAGGACATTTGAATAAGTTTTTGATTGAAAATCTTATTTCCTTTCACTGTATCACTGTCATATTCACAGGGGATCTATGTAATCTGGCCTTCCCAAGCACCCGCTTGCAACATCCCATACAAGAGATCTATGATGTATTGCCATGCATGTACAAGTAAATATTGAAGTTTTTGACTTCTCATAAAATGTTATCTGTATAGTTAAAGTAGGCTTTTGTATTTTTTGTCAGAGCTCTAGCGTTAAGAGTATGGGCAGTATTAATTTTTTATGAATTTAACAGAAATTTGATTTCCAAGTTAGGGAAGAGAAATTAACATTCTTTTTTAGGTTCTGAAGAAAGCGGATAAGCAAGTTTTAGAGCCACTGATGAATCTCGAGGTTACAGTGACTAGAGATTACCTCAGCCCTGTCCTGGCAGATCTGGCACAAAGAAGAGGAAATATCCAGGAAATCCAGACTCGTCAGGACAACAGAGTTGTTATTGGATTTGTTCCCTTAGCAGAAATTATGGTAGGTACTTTGTGACTGAAAAGTCTTATTCTTTTTTAAATACAGGGAATATATATGCTGAGCAAAAATAGACCATTGGTAACACCTGAGAGAACCATCAGGACTTCGATTTAGAGGATGCCTGTTAAATTTCAGCCAAAGTAACTGTTAGGACTTTGGATTTAAATTGTGGGGGAAATCCAGGGGATTACAGCAGCTTGGGGGGTTGTTTCCAGTCCTTGAAAAAGGTTGAGGTGTACTGTACCAAAATGCAGTACCAGCCTACCATTTTTTCTCTTCCAAGCACTTATCCTACTAGTCCAATTGCTAGTTTTCAGGCAAGTGTCATTCTCCCTACCAGTCTCTTCTGCTCTAGCATAAGCACCTGAGTGCCGGCAGAGTCATCTTTCCAAATGCAGGGACCAGGGAATATATCTGAAGCATATGCATACTGTTGTTTTCTGTCCTCCACAATATTTCTGAGAAGAATGACTAAATGAGCTCTTTGAAGAAATGATATGGTTAAGTTACATAATCACCTTTCCTGGTAATAGTCAAAAGATAAGTAGCAGGAAGAGAAACTTGAGGCTTCAATTTGTTAACTGACTTCAGTTATTTTGATTAGGGTTATTCAACTGTGCTTCGAACACTAACATCAGGTTCAGCTACTTTTGCTGTGGAACTATCTCATTATCAAGCCATGAACCCTCAAGACCAAAGCACACTGCTCAACCGGAGAAGTGGCTTGACCTAAGTGCTTCAGGTCCTTGGAGAGAAAGGAGTACCTGTCTACTTTTTCAGTAAGAACAGTTTTTATTGCTTTATTTATTGGACAAATACTGTTGCAATACATTCGAAGAACTGGATAAAAGATGTAACTTTAAACTGACAGTGGCACTGGAGCTGCCCTTTCTATAATGAGAAATGTGCTTTGATGTTGAAAGTTAATGTACCTGAACTATATGTGTAGAGATGACGTTATTACTGTCAGTAAAGACTCCACCCTTTGGAATATATTAAGTGATATCACCAAGTTTGTATTTTTTAAGCTTCTCTCACAAGAAAGCTGCCAGTCTTCCATATGTAATGTATAAGACAGAAGTTCAACCAATACAAAGCTATAGTTTATTCAAAAACAATGTACCAAATTTTAATTTGCATGATTTCAAAACCAAGTTGATGGATTGCAGTGGGCTTTTTTCTCCTCCAAGTTTTGGCTCATTTTAACATTTTGTTCTCATGGTCACAATATCCAGTAAAAAGAGGTTCTGCAGCTATTTTACGTCTGTAGAACAGATAAAGTATGAAAAAGAGATGTTTTAGAATGCTGTAATTCATCTCCATCTTAAACAACTTAGTAGCTTAAATTAGAATCACTAAACAGCATTAATTATTGAAAAAGATTGTTAAAGTGATTCAAGATAGAGGTCTAAGTTATACCAAAATTTAACTTATCTATAAAAGTTGTCAATCTAAATATATCTTATTTGGGTATTATTCTCTTACCTTCAAGAAATAGTTCCTAATTTCTCCTAATTAAATCACTACTTCTTACGTGACATAAATTTGTTTATAGCAAAAAAAAAACAAAACCCCAAGAAGTTAGATAACAATAACTTTAAAAATCACCCTGGACTTAATAGCATCCTAGCTTGAAAAAGATTTCTTACCTGACCATTCTGCAGCGGTGAATTTTTAGTCTTTCGTAGGCATTATCTATATTTCTGATCTCTTTCTGACTCCATAGTCTCTCACCAACAGCACTTGCCCGAGGCCTAAAATTTAAACCACATGTCCTCCAAAGCAGTTTAATGTTTTCTTAAATTAAGTATCTAAATCATATGCTTGGGGAAATTCCTAATGCTCTCCCACTTGGATGGAGAAGGAAAACTAAGGCACCTTAATTCAAATTTTATCACTTAAATTCCATACCATAGTCTTGGAGTGAGGTTAGTTGCATCCACATATTCTCCCCATAGACAAGCTTCTCCACCCATGACAAGTTGTTGCTGTTCCTGAGAACCTACATTAAAATCATTGAATTGATATATAAGTAGGTGCAGCTTAAGGCTTATATCCAGAAGCAATAATGACTTCTTCTATCTTTATCCTGGGACAGCATTTCTCTCTTATAGTCAGCAGGACCTTGGTAATGGCACAAAAAAAGGTGGCAAACTTTATTCCCACCTCTGAACCTGTAGTTCACATGTCAACTAATGTAGTGGGTCAGTGTTAAGATACTATTTTATATTGGTTTTATGCAAACTGATTTGGACACCAGAAACATTATTTTCCCCTGGCTGTCTATGAATAATGTGCCAGGGAATATAAGTTGGAACACTAGTGACCACCACTCCTACCTTTAATATTTATCTCTTGATATTAAAAGAGATGAAGTACCTAATACTTTTTACAGTACTTATGACTTTCTCAGAAAATGCTTTCTAAATAGTTATGTCAACTCCTAATAGACCTATAGCTTTGAAACTTTTATTAAACAGAAATTTTATATTTAACTGTGGTATATAAAACTAGGCAGAGTAGAACTGTTCTAAACAAAGAATGTCGGAGAGCCCGAAGCCCCACCACTCAGACATCCCTGCTCACTACCTGCCTCCCCCAGAGATGCCTCTTCCTCGGAACCCTATGACTACACTGCCTGAAATCCACTAAACCAGATTATCGCCTTGCTTAGAGAAGGCAGTTCAGAAGAGATGCAAGGTAAATGCAGACATCTTTAAGATAGAGAGAGTAACAAGAAATGGAGAGAAAATCTAAGGGAATCTACTTTTGAAGTTGTTTTATTTAGGTAAGGATTTGGTTTCTTTCACAAAGTTCAAAAATGATACTGAGGCCTTTTTAAGTAAACACAAATAAAATCAAGGATCAAACATAAAAGGAGGATAATAGTAGGTAATATCTAAGTAAGGATTTCCTGGTGGGAGGATAGGGAAGAACATCAAGGTAATGATGGTTGCTTCACTTACCACCAAAATCAAGAGGTTCCACGGTATAGTAGGTTATCCAATCTTGTCCATAACTGATCAAGTCTAAGTACCAAGGAGCAGAAAGGATTACAGGGAATCCAGCTGCTGTGATTACGCGTAGTTTTTGAACATATGTTTCCTGTTGCCATATTTGAACTACAGTGCCTTGTTGAAGCTATTAAAGTTAAAAATTGCAATATATAATATTAGGTCTAGCAAATACAGCAGATGAAATTAAAAGTCTAAGACGTATAACTAGAAAAAGAACTTTAAGATCCTTGAAAAAGCTTATATGTCTTCTTTCCCCTTCCCTCTCAAAGTTAGTGCCGGATGCTATTCCTTATAAGACTTAGAAGTTTCTTTGAACTGCAGGTTGGATGTTTAACGTTTACCTATTTATGACAAATATAAGTGTAACGAACCAAGGCTTTAGTCTCATTTCTGCCACACTCTTTTACTCACTTCGAAACTATAGGGATGTCACCAACCCTTCTGGAAAGGTAATACTGGACTTGCAAATTCTCAGTTGCCCCAAAGCAAAATAAAGAATTCTGTGTTAGATGCCGTTTAAAATAAAAAGTGTACGTTGACAATTTTACTTAAGAATAAGTCTTGATTGCTATTAAGGTAGTTATATCTGTTTGTTCTGCCCTTTCCTGAAAAAAAGGGACTTTCTTCAAAGTATTCAGTTTGTGATTAATAATGAGATGGCAGAGAGGAGGGGAGGGAAGAGAAAGAGGCACTAAAGAATATAAGTAAATGGAAGAAAAGAAAAAAAAAATACCATTAACACTGGCCTCAGTCTACAGCTATTGCCTACAAAAGTTTAAGTCGAAAGGAATTAATTTCCCCATAACATCGGGAACACTTCATTAGGGTTCTTTCTATCCATGTTAGTTATCAAAATCAAATGCAGTCTTTACACATCTCACCTTCTCTGCATTATCAAAAACCTCTTGCCAGACTATGGATCCTTTCTTTGAGGCTGAAATAATATCCAAAAGCCTACCATTGAAAAAAAATAAGTTATTTTAGATCGTAAGCTTAATATGTTTAAAGCATACACATTTTCTACCAAGGACTGCAGTGTTGAGAGCTGTCTTTCAATATAGCACAGAATTATAGCTGAACCTTCTTTCTAGGACATGGCTCAGAAGCTGTCACAGCAGAGGGGTTTAATAGTCATTCACTGAGTGAATAACCTAAGCATGCCCCCAATAGTTGCAACTCATAGGGGAGTGGACAAACAGCAATATCTGGTAATTTCTTAAGTATCTTAGAATAAAAGAAACTATAATCTAGCCTGTAATGTCACCTAAATAACATTAAACAATTGCTGATAATCAGTCTACAAATATTTCCTGATATTTAGACAATGCCAAGTGCTCTGCAGGATAAAAAATTAGACTGTCTCACATAAAAAGCTTAATAGAAAAGGCTGGAATCTGGGCTTGCCCACTGTAGGAGTTGGCAAACTGTAGCCTGCAGTCTGTTTTTGTATGGCTCATGAGCTGAGACTTGTTTGTATATCTGTAAAGCATTACTTAAAAAATAGGAATACACAACCAGATGTGGCCCAAAAACCTAAAACGTTTACTAGCTAGCCCTTTACAGAAAAAGTTAACTGATCACTAGTATAGAATAGCACCGTCCAGTAGAACTTCTGCAATGATAGAAATGTTCTGTATATGCCCTTTCTAATATGGGAGCCACTAACCTCAGCCAGCTACTGAACACTTGAAATATGGCTAATGTGACCAAGGAACTGAATTTTTAATTTTCTTCTATTAATTTAAATATAAACAGCCACATGTGACTATGGCTACCATATTGGACAAAGCAGGTAGCAAGTAAAAGAAATGCTCCTGGAGTTGACAAAGGGAATGAATTACAGGGGCTGGATGATGATGAAGACTTTGCAGGGTAGCCAGGGCCTTGAGCTGAGTCCCTAGAACATGTGACTGCTGTCCTATATTTCAACAGTTATTGCAAAAGGCTTAGATTCACCATGTTACTGATTTGAAGAAAGCAGTGGATATCGCTTCCTTTGATTTCTCATCTGCACTGTTACACAAAGTATGCAACATCTACACTTTGGCAAGGGATAGAGAGCAAATGAAAAACTAACACAGTACTAGTAATAGCTAAAACTTTTACAAAATACATTAATGAAATAAAAACACAAGTAGGCTTTCAAGTAACTTACTTTCGAATATAGAAAGATTCTAGTTTAGTAAAATTACTGCCAAAGCCTTTCTGCTTCATGAAATACTTTATATCTGGATTGGATCGCCTTAAAAAAAAAAAATTAAAATTTTATTACAAGTTTGATATGCCCAATATATTTAAAGCAGCCTATATCCTTAACATCATTTGTGCCTATTTAGAACTATTAAAGTTTGTAGAGAGTAAAATAAGCCTAAAAACTTAATTATGAGTTATCTTAGTTTACCATTGCAAATAGTTTTTTCCAGAAGCCGATTTCTTGTAAAAATAACTTTCCCTCCCTCCCGCCTCTCCCTCCATGTAAGGCTATTTGCAAAGAGGATTTTTATTTGAAAAATCTCCTCCATTTAATTATGGCCCTCTTTCACTAAAGCTGTTCTCATTCACTATAGTCTTTTTTTTTTAATCTCTATTTTCTTCTGCATCTTGATTCTCCTTCCTAAAGCTTTTACTTTCTCATACCACCAAATGTACATTCTACAAAAATCCGTCATTAGGAATTGTGTTGCCAAGTTAAAACCATGCAAGCAGAGAAATTACCCCAAATCTTCCCTTTTTACTTGGAGACCTTTAAACTTACTTCAAATGCAATGGTTAAAAAAAAAGTAAGCGTTTTAAAGAATTGTCATACCAACAAGTAAAGTCCACTTCATCTCCTCCTAAATGAATGAATTGATCAGGAAATACCATGCTAATTTCTTTGAAAAATTTAGACAGGAAGCTGTAAGTTGTATTCACAATAGGGTTTATAGGTCCAAAAGTCCCAGACTGATGTGTATAGTAACATGGAGTCAGGAGGTCTTTCTGACCTGGAAGAAACATGAAATTCGCTTCTTACTAAAGTATTTTAATCACAAAATCATGGCTTTGCACATAATGACACTACTTTATTTTGTTGAAGCTGTAAGATATTATACATAAAAAGATAAGCATGTTTACTAAGAGTTACTGTGGGAATTTCTTCCAAATAAAATGAGGGAGGATTGTTTCCTGAATCCTACCCCTGTACCTCTTTCTCCTTCCATCAGCCTGAGATTTTATCCACTTCAAATATTATCTTGACTGTTAATGACTCCCAAACATTCAACTCACCCTAACCGTTTTTCTTGAGCTTCAACCCATATTTCAAATTCCTTGCTGAATACAATTAGATATCTTAGCTGCACTTCAAATGCAATCTAACAAAAACCAAATTCTCTGTACTCTAAGCTCCTTCTGTAGCTTCTCTTGATTCCTTGTTTTTCTTTTGTATTCTGGTAAGTGTACCACCATCCTTTAGTCTATAACTCTTTCCTTTCCTCCCAAAGTCAATCAGTTGCCAAGTCCTATGGCTTATATTTCCAAAATGTCTTTGTTCTGTACATTATTTCCCATTTCTGTTATTACCATTCTGGTCTAGAATTTCAACCTCTTTCCCCTTTCCATCTGTCATTTTCACATAGGTTTTCTTGACATTGGGCTCTATCATGTCACTCTTCTGCTCTAGCTTTCATTGGTTTCCTTGTGTCCTCATGAAGCCCACATTCTTCACTGAAGGCCCTCTACATTGTACTTTTCCAGACTTATTTCCCACTCCGTGTCTTCCCTAATGTTTACTGAACAATTATAAATGGTAGGTGCTGTGCTACGTGCTTTACATTCATTACTTAATCCTCCAAAAAAATTAAATGATAGCTACTGCTAACATCCCCATTTTAGAAGTGGGGAAACTAAGGATGAGTTCTGTAACTTGCCCAAGGTCACTCCATTTATAAATGGCAGAAGATTCAAACCCAGGCAGTCTGGCTCCAGAGCCAGCCCTTAACCACTGTATGGAGCCTCCTACTCTGCCGCACTGTACTCCAGCTATTATTTAGACTTTCCTCATGTTATTTCCTCTATTAGAAATATGAACATAATTCTTTGTTCTCTCAAAAGGATTTTAAGTATTACATCATCCATGAAGCCGTTTCTTGAATTCACTTATGTTCTACTTGTCGTAATCATTTTTTGCTTTCCTTTATTCCTTGTTTTTATACTTCAGGCAGTGCTAGACACAGTGACTTGCTCACATTAGACACATAATAGTTATTGAATTATACCTGTTAACAGTGCTGCCCTTTATGTAAATCACAATTAAGAACAAAATAAGCAAACACCAAGTCATAAAATAAGAGGTGCAGGACCTCAGATGGTCACTATCTGTGACTCATAAAACACTTACCTTTTCCCCAAGACTGTGTGTGTCCAGGGGTATCAAACTCTGGTATGACTCGAATCCCTCGTAATCGGGCATATTCAATCACCGTACGGACATTGTTTGGTGTATAAACATGAGAAAAAGAATAGCTTCCCTGTAAACACCACACTTATTAATATCAAATTATACAAAATGGATTTGGTCCTGAAAACTGTTAACAGTTCTGTTTGTACTTTGATATCTCATAGCTGATTTTTTCCATTATCACAATGTATTAAATAGTCCCATGTGATGCTGGATGACGCATTTAAATTATATGTTTACTGTATCTTATCAATAAGCTCTTGGCACACTTTTGGTTAATTCCAGAGTTACTGATAAAAAACCATCTATCTCTGCCAGCCCCTCTTGTTTCAGAAACATTTACCATCATGTTTCAGCCTCATGTAACCATACAACAAAAGAGAAATAAAACGTTTGACTCCAAAGTGTTGAAACTTCTGAAAACTGAACTACATAGCTCTTGTTGGTTTTAGAATCAAAATTCATACATTATTACAAAGCATAACAATTGTCTTTCAGTCATTTTAATTACTATCCACTTTAAAAATTCTATCAGAGACACTCTGATAAGTGACTATATACATATATTTTTTAAGGTTACCCTCAGACCTTTATAGGTCACTTGAAAAATTAGAACTCAGTATTGGTTGTAACTAAAGATATAAGGTCCATTAAAGATGTTACTATAGCACATTTCTCAAGGTATAAATATAATATATAAATATATATAATATATAAATGCTCAACTCCCAAAAGTAGTCTTGCCCCACCCCCAAATCAAATTTGTATCTAGTCATGATTAGCTCTAATTACCAATTTATAGTACATACACAGAACAGAAGAACATGTTAATTGACACCACAGAAATGCAATTAGCAAAACCCAGACTGAGAAACTGCAGGACAAATGACATAACTTCTTCAACAAAATAACAAATTATAAGGAAAAAAAAAGAGATGGGCAGGGGTGGGCACCTATAGATCAAAAGAATTAAAAGACATATGAACTGACCACAATATATTGACTTTATTTGCATCTCAATGCAAATTAAAAAAAAAAAACGCTTTCGGGAAACTTGAGTAATGATTGGTTATCTGTATTTTTGTTAATTTTTTAGCTGTGATAATGTTTTATGTTTTTTTTAAACAAGACTTTTTACAAATAATTTCTGGGATTTGCTTCAAAGTAATGGTTCTATAAGATTGGCCATTTATTGACTATTGAAGCTGGGTGATAAGGACATGGGAATTCATTAAATTCTACTTCTGTGCATGTTTAACATTTTCCATAATAAAAAGGAGAGCAAAAGCAAACAAAAAGAGTGCTGCTAGCATTTCAGCCTATACTACATCGTAACATTGGAGAAAGCTTTGGAATTGCGACCAGAGGATGAAATTTTGAGTCCTGGCTTTGCCCGTGCCTACCTGCAGCTTTGGACGAGGCATATAATTTCTCCGGATGTCAGCTACTATCTTTGTATTATAGGGGGATTAAAGTAGATGATATTGAGGCTCACTCCCAGCTCCACTGGTCTATAATTCAATCAATTTGAACACTTCTGCAGCTGCCATTATTTTCTAAGGAGCCCTTGTTTCTAAAATTCCTTCATGTAGTTTTTCAGAGAGAAAAACAGCCTTTACAGAAGTCAAAATAATTCTGTTTAAAATGAATATACAGTTGGACTACCTGATAATTACTTAAATTTACATAAATCATGAATATTTCAGGTCTCCTGCATTCATTAAGTTTTTAAAATTTTATTTATATAGCCCCTAGAGACTGTTTACATTTATAACATAATTATAAAAACAGGAGTTTTATTGCTCTAAAGTGCTAAGCCAGAGCCTATTAAAAAACATTTAAAAACACAAATATCTAACTTTTACACTTTAATTATATCCATAAGAAGAAACATTTAAGCTGCAAACTTCTAATGAAGCTACCAAAAATGCTGTAGACAGACTACAATAACATGAATTACTCACTTTATTGCTCAACTCCGGAAAAGTGATGCTCTGATATGGGAAAGACTGGTCATCAACTATGTGCCAGTGGAGAACATTAAACTTATTAAAAGCCATGGCATCCTGCAAGCAAACATGTTAAAATATTAAATACCACAGATATAATACACAATCCATTTACATAGCTACATTTGGGATTGTTTCCAACGTGACTGCTTTTTTTTGAAAAGAAAGAATGTAGAAAAAAATATGAATTCTTTGTCTTATACACTTTGCATGGCATGTCACTTTTTGAAAAGCCTATATAGAATTTGTATTCTAAATAGTGAGTTATAACTTAGCTCTATGGGAAGAGAGCAAGCTTATAGATTCCTAGTAAATATCTGGGAATACTTACTGAATGGAAAATAGTTCTTGGCTGCTACTGGTTACTGAGGAAAAAGGGGCATTCATTAAAATGGCTCGTAATTCCCACAGTTCTGAGATTTGAGTGCCAACTCTTTTAGAAATGAAAGAAATATCGTACAAATGCAGTACAATTCCATTCAAAACTCCCATAAGTTTTGGGGGAAACTAACATTGATTTTAAGTTTATTCTGGAGGAATTAACAATATTTATATAAAATATAAGCAGACTATTTGAAAAAGATAAAAAATAATGGGGGAGATTTGCCCTATCAGATAATCAAAACTTAAATCCTCCCTGTTCCTTCATCAAGGCTGAAGGGATTTGCTGATGCATTTAAGAAATAGCTTACACACAAGGGAACTGCAAAGAAGTAAATATATTGAGGATTTGCATTGTCAGAGAAGGGAGTTCTTCATGGTTTTAATAAAGATCAGGGGATGGCAAACTTTTTACATAAAGCACTAGGTAGTAAATATTTTGGTTTTGTGAGCCATACAGTTTCTGTCATTTTAAACTGTTGATTCTGTACTTGCCCAAGAAGATAGATTGGTAAATAGGACAGGCTGAGAGTTCAGAAACCAACTTGTGTATTTATAGAATTTAGTATTTGCTATTCATGGTATTAATTGAAAGCAGTAGGGTAAGTTATAGATTGCTCAAAAATGATGTCAAGTCTACAGGCTAACCATTCAGAAAAAAAATCAATCACCTACGTACACTAAAATAAATTCTAACAATCAAGAATAGGAAAATATATAATATTAAAAAAAATTTGAGAGGCTATTTTTATATTTATACCCTTTGTTTGAGGCCTTTGTTAGCATACATCCCAAGGTCAAAAACAATAAAAGACGAAATCGAAAGATAATCATAAAAAATTTAAAACTTCTACAGGCAAAAGACACTATACTATAAACATAGTAAATTTAGAAAACATCACAACAATATATGATAGATAAGTGTATAACATAAATACAAGCAAATATAAAAGTATCACAACATCTACAAATAAAACATTAAAGAGCTTTTAAATCAACAAAGAATTAATAAGATATAGATGAAAAGATAGGCATTGAAAAAGTTTGCAATATAAAAAAATACGAATAGCTAATAAAGTCTCATATCCACTAAAAATCAAAGAAGTGCAAATTAAAACAAAGGATACACTTTATCACCAAATTAGCAAAGAATATAGCAAAGGTATGCCCCCCCGACTGCTGGCCAAGCATACACTGGTATGACCTCTAGAAGGCAATCTGACAGTATGTACTAAAAGTGAAAATGTACCAAAAGATAAAATATACACAGCTTTAAGCCCAGAGATTCACTTCTAAGAATTTATCCTCAGGAAATAATCCTGACAATCATACAAATATAAGAATGCTCCCTTGGCAGTACTTTTTGTGATAATATTAGCCTAGATGTCCATAAGTGGGAGACTGGTTAAATACGTATCATGGTTTATATAAAAATGGAATGTTGAAATGTTTACAAAGATAATATAGACCTTATATAATAGTCTCATTAAAAAAGTCTGTAATAGTTTTTTTAAGATCACACAAGTGCAATCCTATTTAAGTTTAAAAAAGTGATGTTATGATAATATATTCATTTTTCCCCCCATCCCTGACCA